AATTACAATCAATTCTCGCGTTGAGAATTTTCAGTAATTTTTCTGGCGTGGCGCAGTGACATGGCTGTTTATTTACAATAAGTTAATACGTATAAGATATCTAAAATGAATTTCTTATTACGATACTTACAGAATGAAACAAATTTATTCTTACAGTCCATCCCTTGTGAATTCGCGCAAAAATCCACAATCTAATTGCGCTCATTACTCCGAAAACAGTATTTTTCATTATTACATTGCTGTACATTTGTACAAGACTTTTAATAAATAATAAATGAGTATTCTCAAAATTTATCGCAATTTAAAACCTGCAATATAATATATTTTTAGCGTATGATTAATGTAAATAAACTGTTGTTTATATTAACTATCGATCTAAAACTATCGATTGATGAATGAAACTGACCTACCTTGATCTTTTAAGTTAATAGAAAAATTCCATAATATGTATCATCTTTATTGTGTGATACACATGAAATTGTATATTTGAGAGATACTAATGTATATAATGTGATATATTGATCTGTTTCATCGTTGGAATGTTTGCCACATATATGATTAATATATAATTAAAAAGCTATTGTATAACTATAAAATTACAGACGTTTAAAATATATTTGAACATATTATAGAGTGATATAATTTAGGCAAAAATTAATGTCATCGAAATATAAAGTACGAGTTATGTGTCTGCATTAATTTTTTCATGAGTACAACGGACATTGAAAATTTTCGTACAAGCAATTCTCTTAGGTGATAGCTTTTTTTAAAATAAAGACCATAGCAAAGGATAATTGACGATAATTAAAAGGAAATCTTTGAACATTATATATATTACACACACACATGTTCAAAGATTTTTATAATAAGATATACTAATAAATACGCAATTATTGAATTCAATTTTTAAAAACACATAGTATTTGATCGTATAATTATTTTTAAATAATATAGTTATTTTCTATGAAGTATAAGACAAACTTTTAATCATAGTATAATTAGAAGCAACAATTAAAAGATTGTTAGTACTAGTATGAACGATTTTATTGCATCAGCCATAATATTGTGATAAAAATTAACTTTAAGCTAATGAATAAAATAAATTAACAGAATTTTGTAACTATTTCGACTAGTGTAATATGTGATAAAACAAAATGGTGAAATTATATACAAAATCTATCAGTCGCCGTATAAAGCGAACAGAATCCTCCGTTCTCAAACATCAAAATCAAAATCAAGAACCAACACCTTTTTGTTTCAAAGCAAGAAGTTTAATTTATAGCAAAGAATGATCGGTACGGCTGACTTCTGATTATCCTAACTTATAAATCCTATAATTCAATAGCGCCTATAACGTCTTACAAGTGATTGATTTTCTAGTTATCGGCAAGGAATCACTTTAGTAAATTGCATGGCGGAATCCAACGTGAAAATATGCGAAATTTCCCCTATCTTTTTCCTTTTCTTTCGTGATGGAAAGATAGAGGAGATAAGATAGAAGAGTAAGATAATGATACGTGTATCTAATGATTCAATTAGCAGGCTTCGTAACAACATCGACGTTTACTGAGCATTAATTCATGGTCGACGGTTTAAGAAACGGTATTACCTACTGGCGATCGTTAGTCCTAAAAGGTGGATAATTGTAGCGCATGAGAATATATATTATATATTTACATATCTATTTTTTTATACTAGCTTATTTATATTTTTAGTTTATTTTCAATATTTAAGTATACATTGAAGCGATAGATCGAAGTATATAGATTAATTCTACTAATATTAGGAAGTTTTAGAATCGTCTTTTAATATTTAAATCATGAACAAAAGTTTCCTTTTATAATAAACTTTATTTACATATCTATCTTTTTTATACTAGCTTATTTATATTTTTAGTTTATTTTCAATATTTAAGTATACATTGAAGCGATAGATCGAAGTATATAGATTAATTCTACTAATATTAGGAAGTTTTAGAATCGTCTTTTAATATTTAAATCATGAACAAAAGTTTCCTTTTATAATAAACTTTATTTACATATCTATCTTTTTTATACTAGCTTATTTATATTTTTAGTTTATTTTCAATAGAACTGTCTTAGTTTTAGAACTATATTTTAGTACTGTCTTTTAATATTGAAATCATGAACAAAAGTTTCCTTTTATAATAAACTTTATTTGCATATCTATTTTTTTATACTAGCTCATTTATATTTTTAGTTTATTTTCAATAGAACTGTCTTAGTTTTAGAACTATGTTTTAGAACTGTCTTTTAATATTTAAATCATGAATAAAAGTTTCCTTTTATAATAAACTTTATTTACATATCTATCTTTTTTATACTAGCTTATTTATATTTTTAGTTTATTTTCAATAGAACTGTCTTAGTTTTAGAACTATATTTTAGTACTGTCTTTTAATATTGAAATCATGAACAAAAGTTTCCTTTTATAATAAACTTTATTTACATATCTATCTTTTTTATACTAGCTTATTTATATTTTTAGTTTATTTTCAATATTTAAGTATACATTGAAGCGATAGATCGAAGTATATAGATTAATTCTACTAATATTAGGAAGTTTTAGAATTGTCTTTTAATATTTAAATCATGAAAAAAAGTTTCCTTTTATAATAAACTTCATATTGATAAAAATTATATCGTTGAACTTTGTCAATAAAATTAATATTTTATTTTATATTTAAATAAAAATTGTTATTAGTTTGTTATATTTTTATTGTATTTATTATTGCTTAGTTCGTGCCTTTCGACTTTGGACGAACTTTCGGGTTTACATCTCTCATGTCTATTTCTCTTCTTATATGTCTATCTCCTCTCTTTTCCACTCTATTCTATTGCACTTATTAGTTTGTTATATAATTGAAATAATATAAATGAATCGAGAGTATAATGAGAGTCGGATATTGTCAAAGTTTTATTCAATATTTTGTACATTAATTTTTTATTAATCAATGTTACATATAATTTTTAGTTTGATAAAATTAAATGACAGACTAAATGTTTTAATTACAGAAATTATATTTATGAGTATAGAATGTCGATAGGAACATTCTATTATTATAATTGTAAACGTATCTATTGCATCACCTGTATATTATTCAATGATTTTCGGATATGTAGTACATATACTGGAAACATTCTATTATATCCTTAATTTGAATAATAATAAATCGAAGAATGCGATAGGACGATGTTTTATAGATGATATTTGAATATGCCGAAGCAGATGAAAATTAATGAACGCATATCAAATTCACATATACATCATATATAATTTACAAATTGATCTTTGCATGTTCTATAATGAAAAAGTTTCATTAGTTCAATATTTTAAAGATATAAAAAGAGATAGGCTATTTTTTCTATATATGTATAATGATTTCCTTCTCTTGAAAAAGAACAGATTATTTAATAGAATTGCTTGGAAATTATTTTTTATTTGTTAATGTAATTGTTACTTGTTACTTGCTAAGTTTGGAAGTGGAATCTTAAAGATCAAGAACGTCGTGAAAGGCAAAATATAAATATAAAATTACGCACAGTATATACATATATTGTACTATATTGAGAATTAGCAAGAAGATTATAGAGAAAAATTAATTAAGTTACATAGAAAAATTATAGAAGAAGATGCGAATATTTTACTGGATAAACAAATAAGCATATTGAAATATGTAGCTTCCTTATTCATCTACAATTCATATGAATTGTTCGAGTCACCCAGCATATGTTTAACGATTTTTATTTTTAAAGAATGATTCGGGCGTATGCCTGTCTGTAAGAATTCATTTGTTGTTGGCGCATCGTCGCGTGAATAAAAATTCACACAAATTTGTGTCTACTGTGCTCATCCTTAGAATAGCTGCTAACATCATGTGACGCAACGACACGCTGTGCCGATAAATTTTATAGGTCGGACGGCGCCCGGACAAATGAGCAATAAACATAAACTACGCTCTGCAGCTTCTGTTATTGCGGTCGTTGCATTACAATGCCGAGTCGCGACACCAGTGCACGCGGCGCTTCTTTATTTCGAGCACCGCGCCGCACCGCACTGCACCGCACCAAGCGGCACCGTGTTATAGCGGTATTGAAGTCACTGCACCGTGAGAATACAGTTACGTGGTATTCTTGTGAATAATGCTGACCATTAGTGCGTACGGGGGAGAACGTAATGCCATCGGAACTTTCAATAAGTCTTTTACCACGGAGCACACACACGGGCAAGAAACATTTATGGTTTTAAATGTGCTACCGTATAAAGGTAGCTGATCCATTAGATATTTTTCTTACTCCTTAACGAATTTTTATCAATTTATAAACACCAAAATTAGATTCCTAAGGAAGCTTTTTAAATTTATTGTACTCTTTGTACCAGCTCCAGTGACGCTGTTAGAAAAATACCGATGTCTTTTTTTTTATTTATTAATATTTGCAATGAATTCTCGCATTGAGAATTTTCAGTAATTTTTTCTGGCGTGGCGCAGACTCATGGCTAAATATTTATAATAAGTTAATACTTATTATAGATAAGTATAATTTTTAAGTAAATGTTGTAAATAAGTAAATATTACTTAATAAAAATATTTAATTAAATCTAGTGTTTAGGTCTAACGGGTAGTGTCTCTTCAGCCTGCGGATCTGGTCCGAGGTATCAAGTAGTCCAGTAATTAGGAGGTTTCGATGTTTGTTGACTCTTTTGCTATATCTGTCGCTATATTTTGCTATTTCCTCTTTAACTGTGGGTATCTTGAAGTCGCGATGTATAAATACCGA